AATTATTTCTTATTATTATTTAGAATAACAATTTATCAATTTAAACTAATCTAAACCTAAAACTATCAATTGCAATTATTTAAAGATATAAACAAGTAAAAGAAAAACCTAGGGCAAAGGGTTCACCAACCGACTATTCAGTTTAACTCAACCTATAGATATGTGACTTTGGACTTTCATTAATCTCACAACGATTCACCTATTTAAGAACTATTCACTCTTGTGTCATAACCCTCTTACTTAAGCTAACCCTATGACTACTCTCGTGACTATAGGGATTAATAAAAGTACATTAAAAACTTTGGAATTACTAGTCGTAAAGCCGGTGTTCCTACTCTCATGGCTCACTATCTAAGTTTATTATTCCTATAAACTAATACTAGCCTTCCACTCTCGCTACTTCAGCTAGCACCTTAAAGCATGCAAATATTGATCAGGTATTCACATGGATGAAAAACAAGAATAATAAATAGTAATTCATGAAAAAATCACAATCATAACTTAAATTAAATTAAATAGTACGGCGGCTACGTCCAAAATCCTAGATTAAATAATTTAGCTACACATCATCTCAAAAATAAATAAAACAATGAAACCCGGGACGAAGACAAGTCGCAAAGGCCGATTCCAAAAGCTTGGATTGGCTTCGTTGGTGCTGACTTCTTTCCCTGACGATGGTGCGTGATTGATGAGGGTGGAATAAGGTGATTGTTGTCTTGATTTGAGGATGGTGGTGATCTGCGTGGAGAGTGAAAAAGGAGTGATGGTGATGGGTTGCTGTGTGGGTTTTGGAATTGGAAGGTGGGTTTTGGAGTTGGGGGCTGATTTCAGTGATGATGATTATGAAGAGAGATGATGGGTGGTGCAGTGAAGGAGAGGGGTTTTTGGTGAGTTTTTTTCCGTCAAGTTCTCCCTCCTTTTATAGGTTTTCGTCAAACTTATTTCTTCAGGAATAAGAAAACTTATTTTCCAATTAAAATTGGGATTAAAATTCTTGCGATTTCTTCCTCATTAGTTCTTACAATCTTCATTTAGGCCCAAAATTTCAACAATTCCTCCATTTGAATACAATTTCTACAATTAAAGATAAAATCACATAAATAGCATATTTGTACTCAAAATATATTTTAAAAATCACAAATTAGAGATATAATAAATAGGTAAAATATAAGCAAAGCAGTAAAATTTTGAATCAGGTAAATCTACTAGTCTACAATCAGTTTAATCTCTGATTCAAAAGTTTCAGTAGAAATCGGGATTCTTTCCACTGAAACACCTGATAGATTTTCATAATATTCAACAATGTGAGATTGTACCTGGTCCCATTGCTCAATCAGCTCTCCTGTTTGATTTGTATAAGAGAGTATTCTGTTCTGATTCCTTCGTTCAGCCTGGCATGGAAGTATCTTGTGCAAAGACCTACTTCTTGGATCCATTTCTCCTTTAATTTTTTTTTTTTTTCTGGAAGCTCTCCAAGGCTTTCCTAGCTTCTACGTATTCCCCAATACAGAGTTTCTCTTGCGCATGATGGTCTTGTCTTTGCGGATCATTCCCCAGTCTGCTAACTTCTCTTTAAGCTGTTGTACCCTATCCTCGATATCATTAAAGTGGACCCTATTAAACGCTTTCGGTACTCACTTCAGTCTTTGCATTTTCATAATCAGTATGTATTGAGTTGTACCATGAATCTCCTTATTCCAGGATTGTTGAACTGCTTCTTTAAATCTAATATGTAATATCCACATATTGTAGTATTTAAAGATCTCTTCTTCTCTTTCTGGTTGACTTCCCATTTGATCAGGAGTGGACAAATATCAGAGTCCTAGTGTCAAAACTGCAACAAATGTATCAGAAAATGCCGCGGACCACTCCTCATTGATGAAAACTCTATCCAGTTCCAAAACTATTCTACTGCTGCACATCTGTTTATTAGAACAAGTGTATCTACAACCTTGAGCCTTTATCTCTACCCATTGATAGGTTTCCATGACCATTCCAAACATATCAGAGTCTAACTGTAGCTGTTGGTTCCCCCTATTTTGTCTCAGGAGATATTATACTCTTAAAATCCCTATTGGCCCGCCGTAGCTGTAGCTGTTGGTTCCCCTTATTTTGTCTTAGGAGATATTATACTCTTAAAATCCATATCAGAGTCTAACTGTAGCTGTTGTATCTACAACCTTGGCCTTTTTATTTGGCCCGCTTTGCTCATTAGGTCATTCCATAGCTCAATCCTTCCCCGGGGATGATTCTCGCATAAACTATGGTGAGTTCAAATTCTCTGTGGCTCCTAGTTTCTTTAACTGTATATTGAATCCACTGCTTTTGAATAATAGCTTTTTTGATTTCGTAGTCTCCTTTACTCCATAATAACAAAATTCTCCTTTTTTGTTCTTGCTGATGATTAATAATATACTGATACTTACTCCAGTTCTTCATTAATTCCTCTACTTTCCTTGCATTTAGTTTTGTCTCTAAAAGCCCTGCGATTCCTACCTTAGAGAAAGCTTTCTATCTCTCTATGTTTCAGAGGACTATTCAGTCCCCTGACATTCCAGCTACGTATACTCATTATTACTAGTCCCTTCAAGAGGGGATCTAGTTTCATTCCCATGATTTTTGCCTGCCTGCTTCTGTTTTACACCTGTTTTCCCATTTAACTTCTTATTATCCTTCCTCAGCTGGATTTGTGTAGTTCCTTTACTTTGATTATTGCAACCCTCTTTTTTGTATTCTTCTACCTTCCAAGTTTTCTTTTCCTCTTGAAAATGTTGTGGTTTTGGGTTCAGAGCTTTCCTCTCATGTTCCTGCAACATTCACTAAATGTTTTCCTTCTTCTGCTCTATGTTCTGGGATTGCTACTCAGTATTCTGCTTTTCCTTCCAAACTTTGGTCACTGGTTTCCTGCAAGCATTTGTCACATGACCAAATCCTTTGCAGTTCATACATTTAACCGGCATCCATTCATATCTTACTTTCTGTTGCTGTAAGATCCTATTTTCATCTTCAAATTAAACCATACTTCTTTAGGCCTTTTCTCACTGATTTTCATCTCAACCAATAATCTTGCACACCATGTTCTATTCCTCATAGTTGTCATCTCATCCATCTCCAGTGGTTGACCTAGCAGGATTGTAATACGGCATAGTGTTCTTGGTGTCTAGTACTTAAGTTGCATTTTAGGAAGTTGCACCAACCTGGTACCATATTTACTTCTTCTAGCGTAAAACCCTTCTCAACATCCCACTCATTAACTATTAATAGCCAGTTATCAAAGTGATAGACATTATTCAGCTACACTTCCTCCCCTGTTGATACTGAATGAAAATTCACCACATAGAAACCACTATCTAGTAGTAGGACTTTATCAAGATCTAGTTCCACCCATAACCTTCTAAGATAACCATTCACCACAAAAAATGGCGGACAAGCTCCAAGAACATAACATATAATTGATGAATTCCAATAATCAACAGCTTCCTGTATTTCATCCGTTTGTATTTAACTATCAATTTCTCATGGACAACATTCGGTTCAATAAGCTCTAACTTTCGATTCATTCCCAACTGACTGTTGGTATCCGCCTTTCCCCACATACCTGGATTCTCTTTATCCCTAACTTCCTTTTCCTTTTCAATTAATGAATTAACCCTATTCCTTGAGGTCTTCCCAACATGAATGACCTTTTGATTACACAATTTCTCAAGTATTTCACTTCTATGGACATTCAGTTCCAAATTAGGGCTACTCACCTTTGCTAGAGATTCCGATCGGGTAGCTTCCACAGACAGAATTCACTCACCGTCTGGTTGTTTAACTTCCTCCACCGCCAGTATATTTTTAAATGACTTTTTTATTTGGATTTTTTTTCAGAACAAATTCGAAGATGATTTGAAAATGGAGGAAATAGAAGGATTTGAAAGGTTGTAAAAAGTTTAGTTTGAGCACAACTAGTACATATATAGGAAGAAGAACATTTACTTAATGTGTAGAAACATTGTAAACTGGAAGTTATAAAGTTCCTATTACTCGCGTGTGTATGAATTTTCAATACATGTCTATCTATATAATTGGGTACTATTGATTGTTTTTGAAAACCAAGTACTATTAACTAATCCTTAGCATCCCCATGAAACTGTCGCCTCGACGATGATTTACAAAAGCAAAGAGATTATATTACAAATAAAGATGATGTAAACAAAGATAGTAGGTGAAATGAACTCTAGACTGTAATTACTCGAAGTTTGAGTATGCATCTTCACTCACTTAATTAGTACAACAGTGGTATTCATGTATACGAAGGAAAGAAAAAAAAAAGTACATGAGTACAGAGCTTTGGTTTTTATTCCCTTCCTTGTTTCAGAATAATTCTCCAATTTTGAGTTTTTATTGTATCCGTTTCTGAAAATGGATAAAGTAAAAAAATTCAAAATCTTAGATAATAATTTTGAGACGAAGTGACAGAGGGAGGTAGTATCAATTTATAAATCCAGCAAACCCGGGCAATTACATTTTCTGCTTTGTTTATTTTATTAAATGAGGAAAATTAATGATGTTGCAATTAGGGTTGGGAAAGAGGAACGGCGTCGTTTGCAGCTGAATTGCGCATCAAGTTTTGTAGACGTTGCTGACTTTGACTTCATGCATGCAAGGGTTGGAGTTGGCACTTCATCCCAGTTGGCTTTGAATCCCTTCTTTCCATTTTGTCTTTATCAGCAATTTGAGTAGTTAAGCAAGGATTGATCAATGTTATTAGTATAAAAAGTATACTGTACGAAATGATCATCATGTATATTTTAATCTATTTCCTGCTTTAATCTTCTTCTCTCTCCGTCCATTCTTCCTTTCTTCTTCGTCTTTTTTTTTTTGGTAAGTCTCTCTCCAAAAAGAAAGGATACTGTACGAAATGATCATCATCATGTATATTTTAATCTATTTCTTCCTTTCTTCGTCTTTCTTTATTCTTCTTCATTCTAAAGTCTCTCTCCTCTTATCTTTATCTGCTGTGCTTTTCTTTTATACAGTGCAGCCACCTAATAAATTAATCTTCTAACGACCAATGTATATATTAAAAGGTTATTCCATCACAGAATAGGACAGGGTCAAAACTTGCGAACAAAGGATTAGACAAACTCAAGTAAAAACCATATACACCGATACGCATCGGAGTTGCTCGTATCACTTTATTAATTACATTGGAAATTTTTCAACAAGAGAAAAAAACAGCAATAACAACCTAAGAAAAAAGGAGAAAAAAAAAAAGATTACACCAGGGACACACGAATTAACATTGATGATAGAAATATATTGCACGGCACATATGAGAGAACAAAGAATGATACTCTTGAATCATTCATCAATGTGTTTTAGCGGTAGGTGGGTAATGAATGAAGTCCAACTTCAGCTCAGAAACATCTCCGCGTTTGGGATCAACAAACACAGTCCTGGAGTTAATACGTCCTTGAGCCCTCTGGAAAAGGCCTGTCCCGCCGACGATGATAAGGTGATTGATTTCGGTCCACTCTGTCAAAGCCGGCATAACACGGCCAACAGCGGTGAGAGTGCTACCCTTGTACGGGCCGTTTTCGTTGAAAACGAAGGTGAGGAGATCAACGCCAGCAAATTCGGCATGTCCGGCTGATATAGCGAGCCCTTGAATCCGACCGACAACCTTGGCGTTGATGTCCTCCGACATGGAAACCTCAGTCATCGGAGCATCTACCCCGAGCACCCTCCCGAATCCTGTTGGCGACGAGGCGGTAGTGCTCGCCTGAGCTACCGTCTCGCTCGGCAGAGGATTCAGGGTCTGGATGTTGTTAAGAAACACGTGAATCTTCGTGTGCTTTGGTTTTTCTGCAAGTCGAAACTCACGACCCCATGAGGTGGTCATCATGGCCATGAAAACCATGGCAACAAATAAAAAGGCTACTCTTTTCGCCATTTTTTTTTTTTTGATCGGATCAAATTGCTTTGAAACTCGTAGGATGGTTTTTCTTGTTTAATTGTATGGATGGGTATGTAGTGAAGGATGAATTGGGACTACGTTTTATAGTTATAGGGCGGGCTGATGAACCTGGACGACTCCAATTCCGCTGTGAATTGTTTAGAATTTTTAGCAGCGGCTAGTTATGCTTTAAGTTATGTATTAGACCATAGTTTTGTCTGTGTTCCCACTGATGCCTCCATCGTGATCGTACATTTTTTAGTAAATAAACTAAATTTGCCTTTTAAAATATGTTTGTGCGGAATCATATGAGCTGGCGGCCATACATAGTCCAAAATTTCTCCGTCTCGATTTGTATAGTCGTTAATTAACTAATACTAATAAATACGGGATGTTTTTCCACGCGAAGTGACGATAATTTTGTGAATATTCATTCGAGTATATATGTTTGAAATTGAACACTGCGTACTTTTGGTTATTCAATTTAAGTATCAACTTGTAGTACTCTTTAATTCGTTGCTGCAAAATTTTTAGCATTCCTTCTATCTCACATAATAAATAATAATATAAAAGCTTCACTGGAATCTATTATATGTCTATCTCTATTTTATATATATATATATATATATATATATATATATATTAAAAACGAGTTTCAATCTAACGCATGACGTAAAATTTGATCGATTAATCCATATAGATCAAAACTTGATAAACAAAAAAATGATAATTTTTTATTTATAAATTCATAAAATCTATAGATAACTAATTCGGTTTTTTTTAAAAAAAATTTTAACGGCAAACTATTTACAAAATGGCCCAGCCGAACTCCTCTTCCTTCTGCACCCGTTTTTGGTTTTCTATTGGAGCACTAGGGTTGTAAAATTTATTCTAAGACAAGTTGACATTTCTTCTCACGTAGGCCCACTAGGTTTTTGTTAATTCTTGGTCAAAACCCAATTGATAAAAGCTTACCCAAGTTTCGCTTCACCGCCAAACTAAATAAAAATGTCACAATATGTAGTTTTGGTCCTTCAAGTCTCCAACTCATTATAAAATGTAGTGAGGAAGCCAAGTGCTGTAAAAGTAGCGAAGTTGAAGCAAACTTTCCGGGAAAAATAGGCATTAGGCCTAGATACTGTAGATGATGTAATAGACTTTGAAAGTTGTAAATATGTCTTGTGGTTGAAGTTATAAAAGATTTATATAGGCGCGGAACTAAGGGGGTCATAAGGTTCGACCGACCCCCAAGCTCGTCGGAAAACCTCTAAGAAATGGTGTTCTTGCGGCCCGGTGATTGATTTTTCAGGCCTGACCACCACCCCCCCCGCCCCCCGGTGAAAATGGAAAAAGCCTGAGAAGGGGTGGTCAAAGTTTGTTTTTTTGCTTCCAGTTGGGCTGTTTTCTTTTCTTATAAAATAGCCCATTCTGGGTGGGATAGGTATTAAAAGCAAAATTACTCAAATTTGGGTTGGGCTTTACTTTCAAACTTTTTTTTTTTTGTTCATTTAAGCATACGAATAGGTGAATTAAATTGTGTCTAATCGCGATTTTATTTATCATTTCTCTTTTATTTTGGGGTTAGTTTACGCATAATTTTTTTTCCCTCCCATTCTTATTGGCGCAATAACCAAGCACTATATTCAATATAAGTTTATTTAAATTGAATTTCTCAAAGTATATTTACGTTGTATATAAATGAAATAATATATTTTAAATCATATTTTCCGTCCCAGAAAAATAATCCAAAATGAGTTTTCATATTTGTACTATTTTTAGAATAAATTTTAAAAATCAAAGTGAATTTTTTGATTTTTTTTTTGAGGTGAAGGGAGTCCTAATAACGCCACTGTATATAATTATACACGTATGTATATATATATATATATATATATATATATCAGTTTTGGTCCATATATATATATATATATATATATATATATATATATATCAGTTTTGGTCCATGAAGAGAGTCGTTTGTCAGCAGTTTTGTGTTAAAATTGCATCTGCAGAGAAGTAAGGTTTAAGTTTGGACTTTGGAGCCATCTTTACTTTTGCTGTTGATCTTAACTAAGATTTATTCCTTCCTATAAGTTTTTCTTCAGTTTGATTTTGTTGATATGATATTAAATGCTCCAAAAATAAAATTATTCAAAGTTGATCTAGGCTGTAGTATTCTAAAGACAAAAAGACTATTTTTTTTCCAACTAAATAAATTTGATTTGATCCAATAAATAATCACAGTAAGACAAGGCAGATAGTATAAAACCAAAAAATAAAAAATAAAAATCAGATATGTTAGTGTGAATAGTACCCTTGTTGTTTTAAAATAATTGTTTTATTTAGATTTTGATTTTTATTAGCGATTCTTATTTCAAAGCGGAGGAAGTAGAAGGATTCGAAAGGTTGTAAAAAGTTCAGTTTAGCACAGTTAATAGGAAGTTAAGTGGAACATACATGTACCAGAAGTTTCCTATTACTTGTGTGTGTGAATTTTCATCAGATGTATATCCATGAAACTGGGAACCAAATACTATTATTAAATAATTTAATCCTTAGCATCCGCAGGAAACTGTGGTTGCCGATGATTTACAAAAGCAAGGAGATTATTACAGATAAAGTTGTTGTAAAAAAGCAGTAGGTAAAGTGAATTTTTGAAATTAACAGTAATGACTTACAACCAAGTATGCATCCAACTCCAAAATCAATTGATTTGACCCACGTGATTAATTAGTACAACGTTGCTGTTTATATGAAGAAAAAAACATACTAAGTACAGAGCTCTAGGTTTTTATTTCTTATTCTGTTCCATAACAATTGTTCAGGGTGAATTTTTATTTTTCGTAAACTTTGTATTGAAAGTTTTTTTTAAAAAAAATCAAACTTGATAATCATTACGGGATGGATAGAAACAATGTTTGCAGGATCGTGATTCTATGCAGGATCGAAATGGAGCCATAGAATCGGATCGTAAATAGGATCGGTAGAATCGAAAAAGTAGGATCGTAAATTTTTTAAAAAATTTATACATTATAAACAATTACTAACAATAATTTTTAGATTTTTTTAAAGCTGTGTAATGCATTCATTCTAATTTCTAACTAAAATACAGGCGATAATTGTAATTTTGTATTTAATCAATAATATGACAGACAATAGAATAAGTAATGTTCGAGTTACAAATTACTAGTACTTTAATAAGTTGTGTATGATTATTTTAGAGTGATTGAAAATTATGATTCAGATTAAGAAGAGAAAAATGTCGTGGACCAAATACAAAACATAAACTAAAGAAAGGCTTATGTCATCAATTGAGTCATTGACCAATTGATCATTCTTTTTCTCCCTCAAGGTCACGAGTCTGTTAGCAGAAGAGTTTCGGCGAGAGAACAAAACAGAGCATATAAACTACGAGATCCTTTTTCTCAATTCTATTGGGGTAATCCTCCTAATCAACTCTAAAGAACTCAATTTCTTCAACTTTATCACTCTTTTCATATTCTTTTTAAAGCTTTTTTTCATGAATTGGAGTAAACCAATGGATATCCAACTCGTTTGTACTGGATATCCATCAATTTGGTTTATATGCTTATCCAACTTGTTTTGTAGTTGTAATCCAACGGGTTTTATGCATATCCAACTTGTTTGTGCTGGATATCCAACTCGCTTGTACTGGATATCCATCCACTTCATATTGATTATCCAACTTTTTAATTCAAAATAAGTTGATTATCCATCTTCTTAAACTGGATATCCAATGTGTTTATATTGATTATCCAACTTCTTTGTGGTAGTTATCCAGTATTTTTTTTCCTTGCTCTTTTATGAAAATAATTGTCAAACTTTTTTGTACTGATTATTGAACGTGTTGCACTGATTATCTAATTATTTTCTATTGATTATCCAAATTGTTTGCAATGCTTATGCAATCATTTTTTCTTTCTTTCTTTTTTTTTTGAAGAGTGAATGTCAAAAATATGATTGGATAACAAGTACAAACAGAATGGATAATCAGTCCAAACTGGTTGGATAATCAGTAACAACACAACGGATAACTATTTTTCAAAGAAAAACAAAAAACATATTTCTTCATTTCTGCCCGTAAAATTTAAATGCATTTAAAGTTGAAAAAAAATATTCAACATGGATGTTATCGGATAGATTTCATCGAGCACTATAAATTTCATGTATAATTCGTTTTCTAATTCTTTATGGATCAAGAGATATATACAATACAAGAATCTTAATCTAAACTAAACTGGTTATCCATCTTTCTAAACTAGATATCCATCTTATTTTGCCCATCGAAATTTAGTCATTTTTAAACTCGAAAAAAATATTCGACATGGATCTTGTTGGATAGATCTCGACGAGTACTATAATTTTCATGTGTAACACATTCTCTAATTTTTTATGTATCATGAGATATGATCGTTTAAAGATTAAGAGATATTTTTTAAAGGAGAGAGAACAAAAATCAAAGGGACTAAACCTGTAAATTATAGGATGTTATTTAGAAAAGTGGAAATAAGTGTAGTAAGGACTACTATTGTAAAAAATAGGAGGGGGAGTATCGCGCCCCAGATATAATGGATAAATTACCCAATATGCATATTGCTTTCCTTTGGGTTAATTATTTGTTTAACTTAAGGGATTATTACATACCGAAAATAACATTGATACATTAAATTAAGTGGCATGTGATATTACAAAAATTTACCAAAACTATAAATATTTTTAACTCTATTTATTAGCTGTCTATTTATTTGTAGTAAGAGTTGCTATTATACTGATACAATTTTTGTATGGCATACTAAAACAAAATAAGCGTTGACTCATGGAAACATTCTTTTTATCTTCTTGTTTTTTCTCTTTTTTTTTTCTTTTTTTTGATAAGCCATGCAAACCTTGTAGTTCTAGAAGTTGTGAACTGACGAAGGTTAACGATATTGTCAGTGCCGATGCATGAATTAACCTTGAGCACAATGTAGTGCTCTTTTGACGAAAAACCCTACATTATATTTCAAGTATCCCTTACCAGTTTCACCCTCTCTACACACTTCACTGTCGATCACCCCTGATGCTTCTCAACCATGAATTGAAGGCTGCCAAATTCTCTTTTTTTCTCCAATTTGAAAGATATTCAAGATTAGCAAAGGTTTTAATCATACTGCCTTATTTGGACGAAAAATTTGTGTAGCTTCAAATCAATTTGTTCA